TTAAAAAAAAAAAAAAAGAGAATTCTGGTGCTATGTGTGTCTCTTTGACTCTCCACAGATCCCCACTGGGACATGGTTGGCTGGGGGTACACCTAAGTGTGATTTGGTCAGCCACAGTTAGTATGTAAAAGGCTGGTTGGATAGGTGAACACCGTCAGGGAGGTATACACTCCTTAGACCAATCAATCATACAAGATCAAAAGGGCAGCATTTGCCCAAGAACAAAGTTCAGAAGGTGGGAAAGGAGGAGGAATGGAAACAGGAAACACAGGGAAGAAGTAGGATGAGAGATGTTACACTGTGTGGACGGCAATCAATGGCATGGAACAAAATATGTGTGTGAATCATTGAGTGGAAAATGGATTAGCTCTGTAAACCTTTAGCCAAATCACAATATAAATAAATAAATAAATAAAAGCCTGGCTGGTTATAGAAATCCAGCTAACTAGGTTGTAAGAATGTGAGAGTCTGAAGTGGCCTGTGAAGTCTTGCTTTCTTGGGTATGTGGGTATGGCAATCAGTATAACCTTAAGAAGGAGCCCTATTAGGACCTCTGGTAGGATAATGCCTAAGGCACTTGACTGCTAATCAGAAGATTAGCCACTCCTCGGAAGGAAGGTTGGACAATCCTACTTCTGTAGTGATACCACCTCAGATACTCAAGGAGGGGTCCCTATGAGTCAGGGCTGACTCGATGGCACATAACAACAACAACAACAAAGGAGCCCTACTAGGCAAAGGTTAAATGCTTAGACTGCTAACTGAAAGGCCGGCAGTTTGAACCCACCAGTGACTGCTTTTGGAAGAAAGATGCAGCAATCTGCTCCTGTAAAGATTATACCCTAGAAAACCCTATAGGGCAGTTCTACGTTGCCATGTGGGGTCGCTGTGAGTTGAAAATGGCCTTGATCGCACTCAGCACCAACAGTATAACCTTAACTATATCAGCCAATGACGATCACAGGCCTATAACGCTGTACGATCAGCAGGAAGAAGCCTTGTCAGCTAAACAGGCCCAGACGGTGAAATGCCACCTAGCTTACAAATTGCTTGTTATCCTAAACTGCTCCTTCAATGTCAGGAGCTACCATTTCATAACGTTTCATGTTAAGCAGAACACAAGAAAACCAAAGAAATGCTGCAAGAAACGAGGTTTAAACTCTAGACTGTGTGTGTCCCTGGTAGGGACGGGGCTTGAAAACATACCACTGAGTAGAGTCAGTCAGTCGCAAAAGGACAAAAACTGTATGATCTCACAAATACGAAATAAACAGAGATAGAAACCGAAGATTATCCATTGTTACCAGGGGTGGGAAGGAGTGGGAAACGGGGAGTTTTTGCTTAGGGGGCACTGAGTTTATTATGTTATCAGTGGTGGAATAATTTCAAAAAGGATAGCAAGAAAGGCTGCAAACTTAAAGAGTATTATCAATGTCACTCAATTATACTTGTAGAAATTGTTGACTGGCTGTATGTTTTGTTGTGTGTATTTTCACCACCATTAAAAATAAAAAAAATAAACAACAACAACAACAACAACATATTAGCTGTGCTAACAAAAAGAAGCAGTGATATGGATAATCCAAAATACCATATAACCTAAAAATATTTTGGTTTATTTCTCTCCCCAAGGAACTCTGGTGGCATAGTGGTTAAGGCATTTGGCTGTTAACCAAAAAGTTGGTGGTTTGAAGCCACCGGCTGCTCTGCACAGGAAAGATGAGCCAGTCTGCTC